TGGAAGACTTAGAAAGAATATAGAAAAACAAAATACTAAGATATAGTGGAGAATCTCTCTTAACATCAAAAAACCAAATTCATAAAAAATTAGCAAGAACAATACAAATGAAATATTAACGGTAGGAGGCCAGCAGATTGAGAGAGTAAAAAGATATACTTACTTGGGAACGATAATCACAGAAAATAACGGTTATACTGCAGTGATAAGAGTCAGAATTGAAAAAGCACGTGCCAACTTCGTGAAAACGAAAAAGATTTTATGCAGCAAAGATCTGACATTGGCTCTCAGAATAAGGCTAATTAAATGCTATGTACACAGTGTACTCTGCTATGGAGCTGAATCATAGACATTAAACCGAAATACAATAAATCGACTTAACGAGTTTGAAATGTGAACATTTAGAAGATTGTTAAGGATTCCATGGGTAGATAGAGTCACGAATGCAGAAGTGTTAAGGAGAATAGGCAAAGAGAGGGAAATGGAAAATACGATAAAAGAAAGGAAATTGCCCTATCTTGGACATGTAATGAGAGGCGAAAGATCTCAACATCTTGAGACTTATAATTCTAGGAAAAATAGAGGGTAGGTGAAGCGTAGGAAAAGACGCGTTTCCTGGTTGAAGAACCTGAGAGAGTGGTTTGGTTGCAGTTCAAGGCAATTGTTCAGAGCAGCTGCCTCGAAGGTCAGAATAGCCATGATGTTTTATGATAGCCAGTTTGGTGATAGCCAGTTTTTTGATGCCGGTGTTTTAGTCTTCCACCGCCAAACGTCTGAGCTAGGACACCCCTTTGTCTTTGAGCTCTTCATCGGTTCCAAACTGTTTTCTTCTCAAAATATCTTTGTTTGTACTTAAAAGGTTTAAAGATTAACTAGCTTTTTATAGAATCGCAATTCATTTGGTATTTTTTTAGAAAAAAATCCCTTCTTCTTCTTAAAGTTCTATCTCCTATCGAAGGTTGGATATCATAACCGCTATGGTCACTTTGTTGGCTGCTGCTCTGAAAAGTTGTAGTGAACTACAGTTAAACCATTCTCTAAGGTTTCTCAGCCAGGAGATGCGTCTTCTTCCTTAGATCCTTTCTTGCATAATAATTCTCAGCAGCTCATATTTTTCTTCTCTGGTTATGTGAAAAAATTCCAATAATCACTAAGTAAGGCATTTTTTTCAACAAAAATTGCAAATAACTCGAAAAGAAAGCATATTTTGAAAAAGTATCGAGAGAGTAAATTACTATTTACTTCGATGAGATATTCCTAAACAAATTTTACTCGAAGCGATTCGGTAAATTGTTTTTTTGTTATAAGTTATTATTTGTTAATAACAAATTCCGGCCCACTTGGAAAAATAAAAAAAAAAATACATTTAAACTTGAAAAAAATATAAAATCGAATATTTTCGAAGTTTCGAATGGAAGCTTAGAAGGAAGTCTTCTGGTCCTGACGAAATATCTGGAGAAGTGCTACATTGTTTAGATAATGAGAGCATTTCGATTATCACCTCCATCTTTAACAAGATATAGGTACCGCAGCGGAAAATTACCAGACAATTGATTAGAGTCAATATTTATAACTATTTTCAAGAAAAGGAATTCCAGACAGTATATGGAATATCGACTTACCAATTCAATGAGTCACACACTCATTTTTATGAATATATTGCATTGTCTCATATATAAACTTTGTAAGGGAATAATTAGAAGCGTTCGAGTTGTGGTGTTACCGTCGCATGCTCAGAATCACGTGGACAATACACATCTCTAACGAACGTGTGCTAGAGATGTCGAAATGAGAAAGGTCAAATAGTTCGGTCATACAATGAGAGGATATAACTATCGCTTACTCTGGTTGTTCATTCAGGGCAAAATCAAAGGAAAACGCTTGGTCGGAAGAAAATAACTGTCCTGGCTGCTTGACATTGGACAATGGACAGCTCGAATAGTCGAGGAATTGTTTCATCTAGCTGCCGATCGAGAAATATTTCACCAGCTTGTTGATACGATTATAGACAACGATTGAAAACAAGCACAGAAAACAAAGAAGAGGAAAAACGTACTCATTCATTATTTTATAAAAGACTGATCAAGAAATTTTCTGTAAAAGAGTCATACAGTGTGGTTAAAGTCAATCGCCGGTTATTCTCTACTCCATAACAAGAATTAACCTTGACCACTTAATGACATTAACATAAAATATTATAAAACAAAGACACGTGTCCACACAGAGGAACTTGGTCCACATTGATGCGACAGACAGAGGTAACTGGCAAACATGAAGTGGGTCGGTGGGGGTTAGGAAGGGTGCGTGATCCGCAATCATTCTTTACTTTTTGGATAACCCTCTATCCATTTATTTTTATATAGTATCCATTTATTTTTATATATATCTAGTTTTTGGTTTATAAAATCTCATTTCTTAAATATACATAGCTTTATTGCTTAATTCATTTAAATATACATGATTTTTTTCCTTATTTTTCCTCCCTACTTCAATATTTCTACTCTCATGTCATATTTCTTTCCAATTGCATATTTTTTCCTGAAAATGATTAGGGAATAAAATACACCAGTTTATTAAAAAAGTCTTTACTTAACAAAATAAAAGATTCTGATACAAATCAGTTCATATAAAATTAAATATTATATAAAAGTGAACAGGTAAAAATAATACTTTTCCAATACATGAAATGAAAAATAAAAGATTAAATTATATCACAGTGAAAATGTAAAAATGCTCAGTTCGCGACCCGTACAAAAATATGAACAATGTGATTTAAAATAGTGTCGCTATTAATAGATTGATATCTAAAAATCAATAGTTCTTCAGTAAAAGTTTATATGTAGGTACTTATATATTTTTGAGGAGCTAAAACTTTTTGAGAAAGAGATATAATTTTGAGTGTTAAAGTCACCCTAGATGACTTCAACTTTACCTTAGCTATTTTAATTCTATTTTTATTGCGTCTTTCATCGAACTTTTGCCCAAGCATCAGTTAGTGAATGGGTAGGTGCAAGGAATTAGAGAGGTAAGCTACTAAAGACGGCAGAATATGGACTAATACTCCAAGAAATATCAATAGAGATGAGAAAAATGCACGAAAATACAATACAGAAACTATTTCGGAAGTAATACAACATAATAAAAACTTAAACCCATTGAGAAGAAATCTAGCAGAGGTAACAAAAGATATTCATAAACTTCTTGAGCCAGAAGGTGCAGTAACATCAGATAAAAAAAATCATCAATATCTTAAAGAGGTTTTTACAGTGTGTTATACAAAAAGGATACCACCACTAACAATCACTTAAAAACATTACAATTACGTCATCAGAAATTGAAATGGCATTAAAAGAAGTGAAAAACAACAAAGCCTCAGAAGAATATGACATTGTGATTGAAAGTATAAAAACAACTATTTATATTTTCAAGAACTGAAGTGCTCAAGCTATGAATACAATAGTAGATGCCTCAGAAGCACAACGATTTGTCAGTCTTTGTATTCCAATTCGTAAAGAGTAGCGTGGTATTGCGATTTCAAGGTCATTACCTCTCATTAATCATGCGTAGGTGTGTATAAACTTAAACCCAGAAACCAACAAAACGTATCTGCACATGTTTCCACTGAATTTGCAACGTATAAAGGTACAAGGTACCATCTACTCTGGTACCTACAGAGGATAACACATTAATATTTATTGTCTTCTGTCCTTTGCTATAAAACAAATGTACAAAATAAATCTCCCAAAAAAGCTGTATGTAGTTTAGATGTATGTAAGGCTGTATATCAAAGAATGAATAAAGAATGTGAAGTCATAAAAACTGTTAAAATTAGAAAGATTCAATATCTGGGACATTTAATGAGGGGTGAGAAGTACGTATTACTGAGGTTGATTATGCAAGGGAAGATACAAGGGAAGAGAAAGCCTGGACGACGCAAAATGTCCTGGCTAAGAAATTTGAGAGAGTGGTTCGGCTGCAGCTCATTAGAATTATTCAGAAATGCGGCCAACAAAGTTAAAATAGCGATGATGATTTCCAACCTCCGCTAGGAGAAGGAACCCGAAGAAGAAGAAGGCTGTATATGTCTCAGGACTAAAACTATTTGTCAGTAATTTTATTTAAATTCTTAAAAACGAGCATGTTATCTCGATTTTAAGGTTAGAGCTCCACTTACGTAACAGCGCATATGGTGCCATCTACTTTGACAGCTATTAACGAAAATAATTTAATAATTAATGATTTCTGTCCTCTGTGTTAGACGAAATTTGCAAAACAAATCTTCCAGAAAAGACTTTCGATAGTAGTTTTTGTGATATCCTGTTTCATTAGTGACATAGTGTCGAAGATATGAGACCTGAGAAATAACCCACGACAGCGATGCCACCTTACCAGAGGCACACCTACCAGTTGGAGATCAATGAAGAAGCCACACAATTTTCAAGCCGTCTTCAGCGAAGTGGTATCCTAGAAGAATTCTACAAACAATAATGCCAGCGATGATGCATTGTCGCTAAATCAGGCAGTAGAGAAAAAATCCAGAGTACTTTTCGTATTGTATATTTTCACTTTGGTTGAGGTACTCACTGGATATCATTACAAATAACTTCATATGTTTTAAAACTAGGAGGATTGTTGTTATGAATTTGTTTAGCTAGAATATTTATGTATTAAAATTGTCTAAATTTAATTGCTTGGCATCTTTCTCAAAACAAATATAGCTCATCAAAGAAGTGTTCCGACAATTTTGTGGAGAACTATAGCTATTTTATACAATGAATCTATATACTTTAATATTTAGTAAGTGTAATAAGGAGTGAGTTTTTGCGAGTAGTCCAAATAAGGACATTTTCTATTTTATTTCGAATTCATTAGAAATATTAGTTCTACAGTTAGAAAACCTATAAAATGCTATTATGCACCAATGTCTATTTCAGTTTTCTAATTTTAATGTCGAATGCACTATTTTAAATCACAATGTAAATTAACTAATTCTAAAATAACTAAGAACATGCACACTCTATTACTTTCATATTATCCCACTTTTCTACCATAAGTTTGCTAGGATCGTCCTTATCAACTAATAAAATTTCTAAAGAGCCTAATTTAGAGGGCGCACAACATGCTTTTGGTATAATCCTTCTAGAAGTTCTACTAGAAGCGTTTCTTTTCTCCATTTGATGCATGAGACTTTGTATCCTAGAATGATTGGTTGCGTGATTGAAGTTGGGAGGACATAGCCCATGGCAATATCCAGCTTCGTACACCTTTGGTTCGACTATGAAATTCATTTCGGGAAATTCGAGTTTACTAAAAGTTACTTTCATATTTTGTCTACAGCACCTTCTCTTTTTTCTGCCTTTCTGGCAGTCAGTTCTTCTCTCTTTGTGATAAATGGATCTTCGCACTCGTCGAGTTTCGCTTGTATGAACTAAGGTAGTTATACCAGCTTCTAAGGGATCTAAATTACATTTCCTATCCAAACACACTAATTCTATTCCTAAATTTACTTCTCCACTAAGCCACAATTGCATTGCACTAGTAACGTCTGCCTCACACCACTTTGATGAATTCCGGGACAGGTAAAACGTCCTTTCTTCTATAAGTCGTTTTCTTCGTGAACCGAGAACAAGATTTACTTGAACGTTGACACTGGAAACATCGTTGTATTGAGGTGGAGTCAGTATCCTTAACTGAGCACTTTGCAGCTCTGCGTCTCTGTTTGGAGCCACTGGAAACCTCAGCCTAACTGAGGGGACTTTGCTCCTCCACGCCACTTTCCGATCTGAAACAAAAACGTTACGTTAAAATTTAGTTTTTAAAGATATACATTAATTTATATAATTTAAAATAAATATATTTTTATTTTAACACCATAAATAAATGTCAGTAACTGTTCTGTGTAAGATATATCGAAGCAACGAGAAGTTAGGAGACGTTTCTTCGATGGCTAATTAGGTGAACGGCAAATTCAAGCTTACTAGAAGATATTGAACGGTGCTAGGAATAACGTTTTATTCCAGCAATACATCTACAGTTTACTCTTGAAAAACACAATCTTTTGTACTGCTTACGTAGAAAAAATACGTTCAAATAAAAGTAGAAGATTGCATTCATGTATAGAACAAGCCCTTTTCAGTGCATTCCTTGTATACAGAGTTTAACAGGATTTAACGATATTCTAGACTCTTTGTCATTAGGGCGGTTTCATCTACCGCTATCATCATCTATCGTCATCTAACGCTATCTCAAAAATTGGTTCAGTGAGGATTAAGGATTACGGTTCACCACGATAAATAGAAACTTTAGCTAAAACCTCTTGATCCACCTTAGTACAAGCGGTCTGCTTGTAGTAAAGATTTTTGAGCAATCTAATGTCATACATGTCCAGAACAACTGAATCCAAGCAAACCAACCTGTTCATCACTCAGTTATCCACTCACAAAGTTTATATATGCGACAATGCAATATTTTCATAAAAATTTTGAGCTTATGACTCATTAAACTGATAAATCGACAGTCGCTACACTGTCTGGCATTCCTTTTCTTGGGAATAGTTATAAATATTAATTCTAACCAGTTGTCTAATAATTTGGTAATTTACAGCTGCCTTAAGTGACACTGAAGACGGAATCAAAATCAACGGACAGACTATTAGTAATCTTCGCTATGCTGATGATACAGTCATAATAGCTGATAGCCAAGAAGGGCTACAACGACTGATAGATATAATAAACACTGAAGGAGAACGACTGGGCTTGAAGATTAATATAGACAAGACCAAGGTAATGGTGGTTAGTAGAACACGAAATATGCAATTAAATATCATAATATTTCATAATAATAATAATATATAATAAATATAATCAATATAAATAAAAGTTAAGAATAGGAACATCCAAAAGGTCCCCAAGATCAGATATCTCGGTAGTTGAATAACTGAAGATTTAGATCCAGACATAGAGATACGTTTCAGGATTGAGTAAGCCAGAACAACATTTACTTAGATGAGAATCTTGCTAAGCAATAGCAGCCTTAACTTAACGCTGCGATATCGCTATGTAAAATGTTACATTTACTCCATACTGCTATATGGTGTAGAAACCTGGACCATAAAAAACAATGTGATGAACCGAATTGAAATGTGGGTATTTTGAAGACTACTTAAAATTCCCTGCACCGACAACAAATGTCGAAGTATTAAATCGAATGGGCAGAGAACGAGAATTGCTGCCAATAATAAAAAGAAGAAAAATTGCTTATCTGGGTCATATATTTCGAAATTCCAAGTACCAGTTCTTAAAGCTTATTATAGAAAGGAAGATAGAAGGAAAACGAGGCATCGGAAGAAAGAAATACTCATGGCTTAAAAATATAAGGGATTGGACAAATCTCGATTCCCATGCACTCTTTAGAGCCACACAAGATCGAGAGGAGTATGACAAAGTTGTCACCAACGTCCACTAATTGGATAGGGCACCATAAGAAGAAGAACCGCTGCTTTATATCTTGTTAAAAAAAGGAGATAACAATCGCAACAGTCTTATCATCAAATAGATGTAACAATTCTGCAGGTATTTCGTCAGGATCAGAAGCCTTTCTTCGTTTCGCTTGGTCGATGGCCTTCTAAACTTATGAGATTAGAATTGGTGGGCCAGTATCTCGGTTAGATGTTATTTCTTAGGAGATTATTTGGTCATCTTTATATAATTCTATTATGTAATTTTCTTGAAACTGTCATGTGGTTGTGCTAGTTTCTCAATTTCTAAACAGGATTCTTGTAGCCATCGGTCTTTTGTTACTTCAATTTTTTTTCGGATGTCTCCTCCATCACTTGGAGACTTTCAAGTATATAGTCTACGTTTTGGTAGACAAAACCATGTATTCATAATAACAAATTTTTCCTCAGCAGAACTGTACCAACCATTTTAATCTTTCATTTCCTTGTTCCTAGATCGAACTTTCCAGTAATATTGAGAGTAATTTTGATCCCACTTTTGAATTGAAGTCCCCCACGATAAGAGTAAGTTCGTGTCTTTTGTCATAGCTAAGACTTCTGATATAAAAGCTAGAAACATGTTTCAATCACGGTATTTTTTTTGTCTACATATCTACATATCTACTGGTAATGCAGATGATTGAATTAGCATTATTCGGTCTGATAATGGGACTAATTTTCTGAGAGACTTTGCAAGAGATTTCTTTAGTATGACCGTTACGCCGCCTTACAATATAGGAAATTGTTGAACACGTAGAAATATCGTATGGATATGCCAAATAAATAATTTCAGAATTTAGGTTACCGAAAAGTGTCGGCAAGGTGGCTTCCTCGCCTCTTGACGAAAGATCAGAAAACAAACCGTCTTACCTGTGTGAAAGACCTTTGGCGGGATTTTTAAACGGGGTATGATTTCTTAAGATACATTGTTACCTGTAATGAGACATGGTTGCATCATTATACCTCGGAGTATACATAGGTAAGCATGGACTGAGAAAAACCTGAAGAATCAACACCGTGGAAAGCCAAGACACGTCTTTGCGCTGCGAAAGTTCTTGCAACAATTTTTTTGGGATTGCAGGGTTCATAAAGGTTTTGTGATAAGCGGTGAATCTTCATTCAATTACTTTTATAAATATTATACATGATTTGTCGAGCAGTGTATTACATAATGATTATTTACAATTTTGGGTTTAATTTTTTGTCAATTTCGATCTTTCTATCGTCAAACTCAACAATTAATAAACGATAAATATTTTAATCGTTTACTTGTTATGGTAAAGGACCATTAAACTCAATTCTATTGGCTATAATCGTATTTTCGTCGTTCTTTTAAATGATTCATAAAATGCTGGTGAGCTTAAAGTCAAATCTAAATATAAATACTCAAATAAACTACGTATTGCTTGTGAATGGTGGCTTTTCTTACTAAACTGTTTCTTAATTAGCTTTGACAGTGTTCTAGACTGAAAACGTAAAACTGCAGTCATAATATGTGTAACGATTTCAAAATATAAGTAAGTTCGGAAGGTACATTTTAAATTTTGAACACATCTTCAATTGAAATTAGACTGAAATATATATATAATTCTTTGTTTTAAATCTAAATAAAATGTTTGTTTAAAAAAAAATAAATTTTAATTCTAAAAAAAAAACACCACAAGTACCAAAAAAGCTAACTAACTACTTATAAAAAATAAATCCAACATAAATAAAAGTCCAACAAACTAAAAAAGAGTTATCAGCCCCCACAACATCGGGAGAGACACCATTATTACAGGACCATTGTCGTACTCTTACAGAAAATACCAAGAAGCTTGAGGTAACTATACAATGGTTATTCAGCATTTAAAAAAGGAAAGATTGAAGATGAGCAGGATATTGATACTAGTAAAGTTATATCACGGAAACATCCATGTACTTCTCGAGGAAGAACTGATTGAAGACAGGCTGCTAAGCGGACTTTGTGTACCAGAAATATTCGCTACGAGAAGATTAGAAAAAGAGCAAAGTTCCAAGTTCCTGATCAATTGATTGTGGTAAAAGAAAGTAAAAAATTGCTCCAATGGAGATTAAGGCAGTAGTGATCTAAAAGAAATACAATGGTATGATGAAATAAGGTTATTAAAAGATGCCTTAATAAAAATTGTGGAAGAACCTCCATGTGTTCCTCGATATGGTGAAGATTTACACATGCGCATACTTTTGGTTGATTTAAACTAAAGAAGAGTTCTCTAACATCACAAGAGACTTTAAAGAAGAAACTTTAAACTTTAAAGAAACTGTAAAGGATAAATGCTGACGTACCTTCCAGAAACCACGTGAGGAGCTGAGTTTACCTTAACTCGTCTTGGTACACAAAATAAAGGCCAGGATGGAGAGCTGGACAATCTTAGGTACCAAGCTGACCGCAGATGGAAGACTGCATCATGCCTGTCTCGGTTTCGACAAGAAGTCTAAGATAGAATCGAACAGGAATTTCTTTTGTGAACTCCATTCTGCTAGTTTTATGAAGTTGGATGGAAAGAAATTTGGTTCCTTAAGTTCTGGATTTTTTATTTCCATATTTTCCTTTTGGATCCGTTTTTAACTAAACCACAAATAAATATTTCCTAATAATCTTATATTATAACCTATAATAATGACATATAGAAGTAACGATTATAAAAATTAATTTATTAACACATTTGTAGTAATAATCTGTTATTACAAATTAATATAATAGAATAGAATTTTTTCGTTCGAGAACAGCAATGTTTACAACAGTCTGTCAGTTGTCAATTTGTAGTATTCTCAATTTATTATAAGTACAAAATCTGCGTTTAATTTTCGAATTAATGCTTATAATGAAATAAGTCAGCCGAGTACCTCAGTGGGCTGGCGCGTTTACTTCAGTAGGAGTTGGTATAGTGAGTATTTGATTGGAACCACACACAAGCCAGAAATTCTTCAAATGTGCTCCTACTTAACTTGCAAAAGTACGACGATCGATTAGTAAGTAATATGGCGAGAGATAGGATCTCACATTTTAGTGTGATTTTTATTAATTGAACCCTACCCTTGATTATTTCTTAGGGTAGGATTATTTTATCTTAGACAGAAATCTAGACTTTTATATTGATTTTGTGATATTTGAAACTAATTTTTATTTATTCCTTGTGACACACTGTAGTCCTCCTGCTGAATTTTCTGACAAGCGATATATTCTTCGACTTACAAAAACAAACAATGATTAATATCTTATGTTCTACGTTTCCTTGAAAAAAGAAAAAAAATGCACAATAACA